GCTTGCGTCAGACGCCCCGCGAGTGGCAAGACACACTGAGGGCTACACTTGCGGCTCTTGGGTTTGCTCCTTCGACTGCTGATCTGTCGCTGATTCTATACACCAACACTACCCTGCCGTCGTTCTACATTCCCGTGTACGTTGACGACTTGGTTTTTGCTACTGCTGACACTGAAGCGCTGGCCCTAGTGAAGGCAGAGCTACAGGAGAGGCACACCTGCACTGACCCGTGTAAACTCCGAAGCTATCTTGGCTTGCAGATCACCCGGGACAGAGCATATCGTACCATCATCCTGACTCAGTCACACATGGTGCACGAGGTCCTCCAGCGCTTCTGCTTCCAGTACTCCTTGCCACAGCCCACTCCTCTGTCTACCGGCCACTCGCTCTCATCTCCAACTTCGGACGAGTCCGTATAGCCGAGTGGTCCTTACCCAGAGCTAGTGGGCTGCCTCATGTACCTGATGACCTGCACTCTTCCTGACCTTGCGTACCCTCTTGGCCTTTTGGCTCGCTACGTGGCTCCTGGTAGGCACCGAAAGGTGCACATGGATGCTGCTAAGAGGGTACTGCGCTACTTGTGCAGTACATCGGGCATGGGGCTCGTGCTTGGAGGACGGGGCGACGTTGTCCTCACTGGGCAATCGGACGCTTCTTGGGTTGACGACCTGGCTACGCAGCGGTCGTCACAGGGTTACACCTTCAATCTTGGCTCTGGCTCTGTTTCTTGGCGGTCTACACGCTCGCCTTCTGTTCGCAGCTCCAGTTGTGAGGCTGAGATCTACGCCACAGCCATGGCTGCACAGGAGTTACGCTGGCTTACCTACCTGCTGACCGACTTGGGAGAGAGGCCTCGTTCTCCTCCAGTTCTGTACGTCGACAACAAGGCTGCCATTGCCTTGTGTCAGGACCACAGACTTGAGCACAGAACGAAGCACATCGCTCTGCGTTACTTCCTTGCTCGAGAGTTGCAGCAGCGTGGTCAGCTTCGTGTCGCTCACGTGCCCACCCGGGCCAACACTGCTGATGTGTTCACCAAGGCCCTTCCGGCTGGTGATCATCAGCGCTTCTGCACTGCTCTAGGCCTGGTGCCTACGTTTCCTCACTTGTTGTAGACTCTGGTTGTACTGTGATCTATATATGTATACCTGCATGTTTACTCTTGCTAGGTAGTGATCACTGTACTGTTGTTGTTGCATATATACCTCCGCATGTGAACTGGCCTTGTGGCCCCTTTACTTGTGCTCGAGTGTGTGGTGACGTTGTGATCCACCCCGAGCATGCTTTGCTTTGCTTTTCTTGACCGATCTTGTGACCCCTTGTTCTCCCCCACTTTGCCTATGGGGGTGTGTCAAACTATATATGTGTTAGTTCTGTGTAGGCTATAGTGGGGTAGCCCATATGGGGTACAACCCTAAGTTAGGGTTAGTACTTGTACCCACATTTCATTCAATGCAACATTCCTGCTTGCTATCTTGACAAGAGGGTACTGCGTTACTTGTGCAGTACATCGGGCATGGGGCTCATGCTTGGAGGACGGGGTCCAGTGGTCCTCACAGAACACTCCGACGCTTCTTGGGCCGACGACCAGGCGACTTAGCGTTCGTCACAGGGTTACACCTTCAGTCTTGGCTCTGGTTTTGTCTCGTGGAGGTCCACTCGTTCTTCTTCTGTGCTTAGCTCCAGCTGCGAGGCTGAGATCTACGGTGGAGCCATGGCTGCACAGGAGCTACGCTTGCCACATTCTAGGGGCCATCCCTTAGAGGGTACAACTCATTTTGCTCGATAGTCTTGTACCAACCTTCCTCACCTAATCGACATTCATCTCCTTAGGTCAACAAGAAGGTTCCTAGAAAGAAGGTTCCTAGAACAAGGGCCTCACCTAAAAGTATACCCATCAATTTAAAGCCCAAGACCTGAATTACTCAACGGAAGTCAACTGAGTATTTCTAGGTTCGGCGGGTTGCCAGTTGGAGGTTCGGATGGGTTGAGTGACAGGCGAAGCCTGAAAAACAGCTTACGACAGAAAAGACTTCGCCACAAACATGTTGACTTGCTGATTGGTTGTAAAAAACAGGCAGGGCTCTTCATCCCAAATTCGACAAACCGGAGAAGCAACATACCCTGGCTGCGCGGGGAGGCGAGAGGGGCGCGCGAGGGATGGCGAGAGGAGGCTGCGCGGGGAGGTGAGAGGCGGCCGCGCGGGGAGGCAAGAGATTCGCGAGCATTGAAGGCGAGAGGAGCACGCGAGGGGAGGCGAGAGGAGCACGCGCGGGATGGTGAGAGGAGGCCGAGCGGGGCGGTAAGAGGAGCGCGCGCTGGGACGCGCGGGAGGCGAAAAGAGCGCGCACGGGGTGGCGAGAGGTTGCCGCGCGGGCTTACCGGAACGGTGCGCGCGCAGGGAGGAGAAACGTGGGCTTGAGAAACGGGCTTCCCGCGCGTGGAATCGTGGGCCTGACTGTCAGGATAGCGGGGCGTTGTGGGGACACGACGACGCTGAAAGTGGGTGGTCGCGGAGTGGTGCACGAAGTGCCGCAATGGGGCACGACGACGAGGAAGCGATGGGAGGGGATAGGGGTAAGGACGATGGGAGGGCAATGGCGACGGGGACCACGGGGGAAACGAGGGTGACGGTGCGTCAAGGGGGAGGCCGATGTGAGGGGATTTCCTCCCTACGCCTTTTGATCCTGTTTAGCGCGTCGTCTCGTAGGGTGGGATTCAAGCCTTTTACGCTTGTGACGAGCGCTGACAACTCTCGTGTTGAATCGGGGTCGAAGGTGGGAATGTGCTAGGGGCAAAAGCTTAGAGTCTCGCTTAGTAGCCGCACACGCATTCTTGAATTGCCATTTCTAGGCAAACTGTGCACAGGCAGTTCCCTTCTTCCTTCAGCAGAGGGTGGTTGGAACTCTCGCCAAGTTGAAGCGTTCTGCTCTACGACGCGGTCTTTGTGGGGTGCGACGTTTTCTGGTAACCTCACTGGCTCGGGAGGTGTTCCTTGGGCTCGGAAGGCAAACTGTGCACAGTTTGCCTTTTTTCATTTGTAATTCAGGTCTTGGGCTTTAAGCCGCACCCTAGATTTAGTCTTAGATTGACAGGACAACCATATGTGGATTTAGGGCAAGGGCTCAAACACGGTTTCGCAGTTGAGGACGAGCCACGCCCTAGCGAGTTGTGAACAGTACACAGCATCCGAATCACAAGGGTGAGGTTTGTCCAGATACGATGAAACTTGCACGGCATCCCCAGCCATAGTTTCTTTGCGTCTCGGTCGGTCAGGTCCAAGAACAAGACATGCCTCTCTCGCTATGACTCAGCCTGGGACCCCGAATGAACGGCGCGGTTCGACGTTGGGCGGAGGACCTCTCGGTTCGGATGAGATTAGTGCCAGTTTCGTTCTTGATGTGACACTACTGTCTGGTCTGCCACAGCTGTTTTCCTCCAAAAACGCGGGAACTTCGGGCATCCAAGATCTTTCCCGAACCACGAGATCAAACCTCGTTCCTTACCAGTTTCCCCCTCAGTGTGAAGGCGACGAGTCATTCGATGCCAACGCGGACGGAGTCCACGCACTTTCGATGACCAAGGTTCGTTCCACCACTGAGCGACACCCAATCTGGACACGTTCAACAATAAGGTTTTCCCTGGCCACAACCACCAAATTGTTACAGCTGGTAACCAGTCGGCCAGCAGTCATCAGAACGTAACGACTACGGCAATTTCGAGCCGCCTTTCTTGCATCCTGCCAAACATCCGAGCCAAGGCAGCCCGCCAACAGCCTTCCACCTGAACCATGCCAGACACGCCGCGGTCGTCCTTGCCTGATCCCCCAAACTACGGAAACGAGTCCACGATTTTCCCATAGCCTTTCGTAATTAGCGAACCACTCATTTCCAGTTTCGAAGAAGTCGCAAACCGTTTCGCTATTCTGTTCCCCACATTCCAACAGCATGAAGTTCCGTTGCCTTCAGCGTTCTGGCCCATACTTTCTCCTTCACTCCCCTTAGCTTTTCCCTTCGCCTCTCCCCAACTGTCATCTTGGTTCGGTAATTTGGTAGAAACGACACATGTCTCTGACCTTCTGAAGCCGTTCACTCACGAATCAAGCTTGAGATAAGATGGCAATGCAGCTTTCATGGCCCAAGTAGTCGCGTCTTTCTCCTCCAATATACGAAAGTTACTTGTCACACCGATTTCACTTCTTCGCAATAGCCTAAAAATCGGCAGTAAAGGTCCCGCATCCATAGCACTCGCCAGTAGGCCCGCCGATTCTCAAGCACTTGCTCGTCGCCGATCTCGCGCAGTAACATTTACAGCTTCGTCCAGCTCCGGCGATACTGAGCAGGAAAGTTCGGAGGATCCCAAGTCAGCGAGCATGGCGAACATGAAAGACGGCCTCGCGAGGAAAGGGACATTCCGCTCGGATTATGGATACAGGTGACCCATCCTTACCACTCTGACCACTCCTCTCACAACGGTAAATTCTCCACGTGGCGAATCACGCTTCCCCTCAGCGTGTTCGCTAGACGAGAGTTCCGGAACTAGCATTTCCCCACTAGCCAAGCTTCAACATCATCGGCTTGCCAGAATCGGCCTATACAACATCCACGAGTGAATCAGTAACGAATAGCGCACAGCGAAACTATCAGCGTCCCGGCTCCATCAGAAAAAATCGCTTCTCGCAGCTCATACGTCGGCTCCTCGTCTCCCCTCCGATTTCCTTCAGTTTTCCCACACTCCGTTTGACACTCCTCTCCCCTCCCCTCACCGAACCCGCGTCCCATCTTTCCCCTCCGCCCCGTTGCCCGATTGCGCAACTCTTTACAATTTCCTCTTCCCATTCTTCCGAGTACCCCTCCGATAAGGACATAACAATAGTCCGCGCAGAGCGGTGATACCGCGCGAGCGAAGCGAATCGAGTCGTCGGACCCGCTTACCGTTGCCTGTTTTCCCTGGATTGTCGCGCTTGTCTCCTCCTCCCTTCCACCAGAGCTTCCTCTGGCATGGCAGCCGCCGCGAGCAATGGGAATCGGCCAATTCATTGCTCCCTCTCCTCCTCCCCTCTTCCTCCCCCCTCTCCGCTCCACCCCCCTCCTTCCGCTTCCCCCTCCATTTCCTCCCTTCCCCTCCTTCTTCCCCCCTTCACTCCGCTTCCCCACCCGCCCTTCCCCCGTTGCCAACCTCCCAGAGCTTCCCCCGACATGGCGGCAGCGCGCGCAGAGGCGCTGCTGCCGCGCGAGCGGAGCGAGTGTAACCTGCAGGGCGGGCATGAGCAGCACCTGCACCACCACCACCACGGCTTCGGCGACAAAACCATCACGTTCTGGGGGTGAGTGGATGGGCTGGGGTGAGCCGACGGGTTGGGGTGTACGGATGGGTTGGGGTTGAGACTCTGGACTCTGGTTCTCGAGTCACCTCGAAGGGCACGAGCAGCGCCTTCGCGGACGGGCTGGCTGCCTTAAATTATGAACTGTAATCGCTTCGGCATCTCTCTTACACTCCCCTCCCTTTCCCCCACAGCTCCCCCACTCGCACTTACTCCTTACCGCACTCTCACCCTCACCCCCGCCTAACCCCCACACAGATTCTGCGTGATAAATTTTCATAATGTTTTCTGCTGCTGCTGCTAGCCCTTAGCCACACTCCCACCCATTCCTTCCCGCTCCCTTCCACCCATCCGCCGTCAGGTCTTGCGTGCTCAACTTCAATAATATTACGGGACCAGCGGTCGTAGTTCTCCCGTTGCTATACGCACAAGCGGGATGGTTTTTACCAACCGCCGGGCTCACGCTCATGTGGCTGTTTTCGTCGTTTGCGGCCACGATGATGTGCGAAGCGCAGCAGCGAATTCCGGGTAACAAGGGTTTCGCCAGGCGGTTTGAGTACTGCACACTCGTGCGGCATTACTTCGGCGATCGGTGGTACGCGCTCGCGCAGATTGGGTTCAACGCGGGGCTGCTCGCTTCGAACATCGCGTCCATGATTGTTACATCGCAGGTACAGTGAAAAAGAACGAAGGCGAAAAATGCATTGTAGTGATGTGCATGTGCAGTATGAACTAAGGGCAGTTTTTGCATAAAACCTTTCTTAATGTGATTAATTTCTTGATTGATCATTATTACATCCTGGCGCATATTAGACATGTTCTACTGGCACAGCCTGTAAATTCAAGCTAGAAATAGCAGAGCTCCAAACAGTCAACTGAATCGCTACCCCTTTCTCCCCTCCCACGCTCCCCCCAATCCCCCCCCCTCTCTTCACACAAACACGCACAGGTTCTAGACTCAGTGGTATACCGCCTAGCCGGTACCTTATATGGCATGGACTATGGCCAGTGCCGCCCACATTTGGGTGATCACCCTTGCACCCACCTTTCAACCCCCCGTTGCACACAAACTTGCAGGTCCTAGACTCGGTGGTGTATCGGCTAGCTGGCACATCGTATGGCATGGACTATGGGCAGTGGCCGCCCGCGTTTATCGAGTCCCTTGCAACGGGAGGGGCGGGAGGGAATGTGTGCGCATGGGGGACCACCAGCAGCGGTGACTGCAACCGATCGGTGATCTCCCTGGGGTGAGTGAAGGAGAGGGAGTTTAAAAGAGGCGGACAAGAAAGGAGTGGACTGGGAGGAAGGGAGAGGTAAAACTAAACCCTATACCCTGGCCTAAACCTCGCAATGGCAGGGAGAAGAAGCAATGACATGGAGAGGGTTTTTAACTGTCGGACTAAGTATCACTGTGTTCGGCTTTACCGTTCAGGTCATACGGTTAAGGGTTCAGGGTTTCGGGTTAACGCTAACTCTTACTCTCCATTCAGCCTTGTGCTGGCAATGGTTCTCAGTATCCTCACTTCGTTCTTCACGTGTGTTCCCATTCCCTCAGCTTTGCCGGTTTTTTAGGTGCCTAAAAAAAAAATACAATGTATCTCGACCTATCCCAGTCCTTAACTTTCTTCGCACAGATTTTCATTTCTCTCCTCACGTGTGCTCCCACTCCCTCAGATTCGTCCTCGCAATGGCAATCCGCATCCCATTCGCCCGCCTCAACCTCGCAATGGCTCCTACTGCCTCTCCATGCTCTCATTTTCTCTTCTCCCTTCCCCCTCTTCCCTCCCTCTCCCTCCCTCCCTCCCTCCTGTATGCTGGGTGCCCCGCTTCTGGCAATGACGTCTGCATCCCATTCGCCCCTCTCAACCTGGACGACAGCATGGGCTTCCTCTGCCTCTCCATGCTCTCATCTTCCCTTCTTCCTTCCCCCTATTCCCTCCCTATCCCTCTCTCCCTCTTGTGTGCCAGTGGCTCTCCATGATCTCATCTTCCCTTCTTGAGTCGACTCAAAAATCGACTTATCACACACGTGCCAGTGGCTCTCCATGATCTCATCTTCCCTTCTTGAGTCGACTCAAAAATCGACTTATCACACACGTGCCAGTGGCTCTCCATGATCTCATCTTCCCTTCTTCCCTCCTCATGTGTGCTCCCACTCCCCCAGCTTCGTGCTGGCAATGGCAGTGTGCATCCCATTTGCTCGTCTCAACCTAGACGACAACATGGGCTTCCAGTGGCTCTCCATGCTCTTATCTTCCCTTCTCCTTCCCTTCTCTCCCTCCTGTGTGCCGGGTGCCCCATTCCCTCAGATTTGTCCTGGCGATGGCAGTCTGCATCCCATTTGCTCGCCTCAACCTAGACGACAACATGGGCTTCCAGTGGCTCTCCATGCTCTTATCTTCCCTTCTCCTTCCCTTCTCTCCCTCCTGTGTGCCGGGTGCCCCATTCCCTCAGATTTGTCCTGGCAATGGCAGTCTGCATCCCATTTGCTCGCCTAAACCTAGACGACAACATGGGCTTCCAGTGGCTCTCCATGCTCGCCCAGCTGCTCTTCTCCTTTGAGTTTGCCGCCCAGTTCCTCTCCAACCTCCTCCCCGGCTCCCCCAACTACTGCGCCGGGAATGGGCCTGGCAGAACACCCTTTCTCGGACTCGATATAAGTCAGGTGAGAGTTGTCTTGTACTCGATATAAGCCCGGAAATGGTTGCTCCATGCTCGCCCAGCTGCTCTTCTCTTTTTAGTTTGCCGCCCAGTTTCTCTCCAACCTCCTCCCCGGCTCCCCCAACTACTGCGCCGGCAACGGCCCCGGGAGAACACCCTTTCTCGGACTCGATATAAGCCAGGTGAGGGGTGTACTCCATATAAGACCGTTAAAGGGTTGATCTCCATGCTCGCCCAGCTGCTCTTCTCCTTTGAGTTTGTCGCCCAGTTTCTCTCCAACCTCCTTCCCAGTCCCCTTCCCCTTTTCTTCTCCTTCCCTCACCCATCATTGGTCTCTCATTCTTTCTGCCTAACCAGGTCCTAGGAGTGTGTGTGTTTGCATACTCGTACGTCAGCACCATCCCCTCTGTCTGGCTCGTAGTTTGTGCCTGCTCAAGTAGTGCCTCTCTCTCATTCCCCCTCTCCCCCACTCCTCCTTGTTCCCCCAAACCAGGTGCTAGGGGTGTGTGTGTTTGCATACTCCTACGTCAGCACCATCCCCTCGTGGGCCAATGAGAAGAAGCCAGGTGTCAACGTCAACAGAGCCATCTGGCTGCCTGCTTCCGTTGGCTGTGCCCTCAACATCCTACTTGGTGAGCCGCACACCATCGTACAATGTTACATTGTTACAACGATACTACAGTGATACAATAGTACACAGGTACACAGCTAAATTGACTTTGGAGACGTATCAAGTGCTATCTGGCTGCCTGCTTCTGTCGGATCGGATGCGCCTGCTTAGACGCCTCGATATCATCAAGACGCGGTTACCATCTCACCAAGAATCCTATAACCTGGATGTCTGAGTTACACTCAACATGCCCCCTATTCCCATGTGCTCCCGTGCCTTGCACTGTACCCAACAGGCCTCCTAGGCTAGGCGCGTGGGCGTACAGTTTTGAAAACTAAGCTAAGTTATGCTCAGCATGCCCCCTATGCCCATGTGATCCCGTGCCTTGCACTGTACCCAACAGGCCTCCTAGGCGCGTGGGCGTACAAGCTAGTGGACGACGCAGGCCACCCGTTCAAGGGCACAGACAACATGCTCAACATGCTGGACGGGCAGGCCGATGCTGCCACTGCATGCGGCCACCCCCATGTGAGATGCTAGGCTAAAGAAAAGTGTATGCTATACAATATACTCGCTAACTCATTTGCACACAATTCAGTCTACATTCCGGCTTTCCTTGGCTTGGCTACATCCCAGGCATCCCCATCCTGGCCATCATGCCCCTTTACAACCTGCGCTCCTCTGGTGACTTTTGAGTCGACTCAAAAGTCACAAAGTCACCTCTTTTGAGTCGACTCAAAAGTCATACCGGGCATCCCCAACCTGGCCATCATGCTCCGCTACAACCTGCACTCTTCACCAAACCCCTCTTACCCACCCACCCCTCCGCCCCTCCCCCTGCTTTGGGCTACAGGTGGCCCCAGCAACAGAGTTCTCAGTCTACATGCGGGGCTTTTTTGGCTACATCCCGGCCCGGGCATCCCCATCCTGGCCATCATGCTCCGCTACAACCTTCAGTCCTCACCACCCCCTCTTACTCTTCTCCCCCCCACTTTTCCTCCCCTCCCCACGCTCTCCTCTCCACCACCCTCTCTCCCCTCCCCTTCCTTTCCTCTCCCCCCTGTTCTTCCCCTCCTCCCCCTCTCCCCTTTTCTGTCCTCCTCCTCCCCTCCCCTCTCCAATGCTACAGGTGGCCCCAGCAACAGAGTTCTCAGTCTACATGCGGGGCTTCTTTGGCTACATCTGGAATCCCCATCCAGGCCATCATGGTGCGCTACAACCTGCAGGCCTCACCAACCCCCTCTTACCATTCCCCCCCCCCCCCCTTTCCTCCTCTCCCTCTGTTCTCTTCTCCTGGCCTCCTCTCCGATTTCTCTCCCCCCCCTCCCCTCTCCCTGTTTTCCCCTGCCCCCTCTCTTCCCCTGTTCTCTCCACCCTACAGGTGGCACCAGCAACAGAATTTTCAGTGTACATGTGGGGCTTCTTTGGCTACATCCTGGGGATCCCCATTCCCCTCTCTCAAACCCACCAGCACCCCTTCCCACCCCTCTCTTTCACCCTACAGGTGGCCCCAGCAACAGAGTTCTCGGTGTACATGTGGGGCTTCTTTGGCTACATCCCGGGAATTCCCATTCTGGCCATCATGGTGCGCTACAACCTGCAGGCCTCGGGTCTCTTCTCCGACTCAGCTGCCTTCTTCTGGGCAGTTGTCGCGCCCTGGCTGCTCACTGCATTTTTCTACCAAGCTCAGGTGAGACTCCAAACCTAAACCCCCAAACCTAAACCTTAAACCCCCAAACCTAAACCTTAAACCCCCAAACCTAAACCTTAAACCCCCAAACCTAAACCTTAAACCCCCAAACCTAAACCTTAAACCCCCAACCCTAGACCGTACGTCTCTTTAGCATGATACAGCCTACAACCTGCAGGCCTCGGGTCTCTTCTCCGATTCAGCCGCCTTCTTCTGGGCGGTTGTAGCGCCCTGGCTGCTCACTGCCTTCTTCTATCAAGCTCAGGTGAGATCCCAACCCTAGACTCTAAACCTCAAACCCTGCCCCTCTTAGCGTGCTACAGCCCACAACCTGCAGGCTTCAGGCCTCTTCTCCGAGTCAGCTGCCTTCTTCTGGGCGGTTGTAGCGCCCGCCCTGGTTACCCACTGCCTTCTTCTACCAAGCTCAGGTGAGACTTGAACCCTACACTCTAAACTTTAAGGTTCAACTCTAAACCTTACGTTTACACTCTAATCCTTGAACCCTGCCCCTCTTAGCGTGCTACAGCCTACAACCTGCAGGCCTCGGGTCTCTTCTCCGACTCTGCACCAACCCTGATGAAGCACCCACCAACCCTCCCTTACCCACCATCCCTCCCCTGCACGCACTCCCTCTGCATCCCTCTGCACCCCTCCGCACCTCCCTTCAGGTGCTCGTGCAGCTCTGCAACTGGGTGGCCATCGTCTGCCAGGGATTCATTAACTCTGATGAAGCAGCCACATCCCCCCAACCCCTCTGCATCCCTCTGCATCTCTCTCTCAGGTGCTAGTCCAGTTCTGCAACTGGGTGGCCATCATCTGCCAGGGATTCATCAACCTCGTCGTCCTAACTCTCCTCTTCCGTGCCGCTCTCATCACCTCCCCCACCCCCGAAGAGCTCGAATCCCGGGGCTACCTCCTCATCCAAGCAGCCATTAACGGTGCCCACCCTTCTCACTTGCCTCCCATACACTCTCTTTCCTCCATTCCCTCTCTCCCACATCCCCCCCTCTCCTATTTCTCAGGTGCTAGTCCAGTTCTGCAACTGGGTGGCCATCATATGCCAGGGATTCATCAACCTCGTCGTCCCAACGCTCCTCTTCCGGGCCGCACTCATCACCTACCCCACCCCCGAAGAGCTCGAATCCCGGGGCTACCTCCTCGTCTCCTCCTCCCCTCCCTCCTCCACACCCCTCTCCACCACTCCCCCCGCCTCCACACCGCTCCGAACCTCCTCCAGCGCTGATCGGAGCCTCGTGGGGCTGATTCAGAATGTGATTGCGGCACTCTCTCCCAAGCACTCACCAAGTTCGTCTGAAGGAGGAGGGGGAGTTATGGAGAGTGATATGGAAGGGGCCGGTGCTTATAAGCAGATGCCGGATGGTGCAGGAGGGGAGGTGGGGCGGGGGGGGGATGTGATTGTAGAGGGGGCTCGCGTGGTGGTGGATTCAGAGAGTGACAGTGGGAGTGTGAGTGAAGAGGGAGGGAGCGAGACAGAACCTCTCACCACCGCCGCCGCCAACACTACCACTGCCACTGCAAATGCTGCTGCACCAGCCGTGGCTGTAGAGGTGGATCGGAATAGAGGGACAGCAGGACCAACAACACAACGGCAGGCAGCTAGCCGAACAACCGGAGCAGATCCTGTGGCTCTGATTGGTCCAGGTCAGAAGGTGGTGCTCGAGCCACCTGTGCAAGCAGTGCCTACATGGCTGCGTGTGGACCCCTTGGTATTCGCCAGCGCGATGACGTGGACGACAGGTTTATTAGTGGCTGTCAGCATCGCCATCACCCTCCTCTCCCCGTAACCTCGAGTATACAGACACCACAGGCTACTTGTGGTTGGTTACCACACATACACCCCGCATCCCTATGGGATTGCAGGGGACAAGTTGCCCCTGCCATATATCATACACTAGATACCGTTAAAGGGCATTAGGTGATTAGACTAGGGGCTCGAGGAGACAAGTTACCGTAGGACTGGCAGGAAGAGGCATGACATAGGGAAGACGGCCACGGGGATGCATTTTGGTTTTTCCTTTATTTTTTGCATAGTTCGGTCCAGCAGAACGTGCTTGCTCAGCAATGTCTGCTTCGCTTGACTGTGATGGTGATTGAGAAAAGGTGATTATACATGACAACGTAATCAATTGGAAAGGTTCATCCCTTACCGCCACAGCCACTGTTGAAGGGTTTCGGTGAGCGTATCGACTAGCCACTCTAGTGGTGAAGGCTGTGCCGCAGTGCGTGCTTTCAAGCGAGCAGGGGGGGGGGGGGGGGGGGTTGAGGGAATCTACCTTAGTGCGCAGAGTGGTGGCCACTCCTAAGAAAGGAAAGTTGTTGTGTCTGAGGAAGCGGATGTGCAGTTTGAAAAAGCGGATGCAGTTTGAAAAAGTAAGTACAACATTGTTCTCATATTTCTGATAAATATGCAATTGTACCTTTCCACAATTAAGTTCGTGGCACTCTTGTATGGTTTAGGGAGTTTCTCTACAAGTAGGTCTAGCCCGATGAGGAAAGGAGCAGACAGATGGGGGAAGCACCAGCATCATTCGTTACGTACGTAGCCATGTCGACCGCGCCGCACACGGCACGGCATGCACAACGAGAGGTCAACACCGCCATTGTTTGCGGTCCACGTGTCAGCCAAATTGCATGCAACCATTTCGGAGTGCGGCGTGTACGCGATTATCGGAGCCGCGTTTGCGGCTTAGCTTTCAATGCGTCGCGAACCATCATGGCCGTCACTTTTGAGAATTCTCATAAGGGGCTCGAAACATTCGTTGTCAAGCAATTCTCAAGCGGCGAGCGGCATAGCCATGGGCGTCCCGTCGAAGTAATATTTGTCGTGTGGGCCTGTAATTATGTGCGAGAACAATTATTGCCGCGCAGTCAGAACCTCGGCAACGCCATTAATGGTTCTCTAGGCGTAGCCATGGGCTCTCATGCGTGCTACTAGCTCTACCAAAGACAACGGACCCGTGCGTGCAAACCGCTTTTTTTGCAGTCCTGCCGTGCTGTATCAGTCACACGCTGTGCGATTCCCCTTGCTGACTCTAAGTCGCATCCATCCGTTTCCTCTAAAGCTCTAGTTCATCTTGACAGTTGAATCCAACAATCCAGTCCATCCCGCGGCCCGCCGCGGAATCGCTGCTTTGTGCTACGGCGCTACGCCTCGCCGCTCCCCTCGCAGCTGCCCTCATCCTCATTCTCATTGGTAAGTCGAAAGTCGGACGAATACCCATGCCTGTGAAGAGCTCACAGAGCGTGTTGTCATATTCTGAGGCGCCTCAAAAAGATCCCAAGAAGTTTTCATCGGAGAGTTTTTTTTTTTCCAGGAGAATGAGAAGTTGATGACGGATCCTGTGTTTGATCGGCTTTCTTATCTCCAAGCGATGCAAGATTACGGAGAGAACCACTATCGTGCCGTAGCTCGTGGACTCGGGATAGTAGGCCACTTCATTGTCCTGCCTCACTTGGAGATAAAAAGATTGAATGAATACAGGTTTTTGTTTTGACATATTTTCACACCTTTTTTTGCAAATTATGGCTACCTTGATAATTTTAGCAACTCTTCGTGTGACGACCCTCCTGTGTCTCGGCGTTCTCCCTTCCCCGTGAGAATTTTCTCGCACTGAGTGAGATCACAATGTAGCTGGGAGCATCCGCCGCCAACGGCATGACTACTAACGGCGGCAGCAGTGACTCCGCCGATACTACGGGTGTGAGCAAGCCGACGATTGCCCGTGGTATTAGGGGCGCGGCGAGCGCCGCGAGAGGGGTGAGCGTGGCGCGCTACACGGTGAATGCGGAGGTGCGAGTGGGCTCGGTGGTGCTCGTAGTAATTGATCCTCGCCTTATCTACTGCAGAACCCCTCCACTGCCACTGCTATGTTGGGAACCCTTGCAAAGCCCCTCTCTCTTCCCTCTCCCCCGCCTCTCGAGTCTCGACCCTCTCATGTCTCCCCTTTCCTCCTGTCTATCTTCTGCCACTATCCATCTGTATGACTCTTGTCTATCTTGTTGTCTGCTGCAGGGCTCTTTCCTAAGCCACTGCTGTGCTTTGAGCCCCTGCTGAGACCAGCCGCTCTCCCTTCTCCCCCTCCTCTCGACCCTCTCATGTCGCCACTTTCCTCCTGTCCATCTTCTACCACTATCCGTCCGTGTGCCTCTTGTCTATCTTGTCTGCTCCAGAGCTCTTTCCCGAACCACTGCTGTGCTGAGAGGTCCTGCCGACGTCAGCCCCTGGAGGGAAGAGCCTCTGCGGATGCCCTAGAGAGCCCCTGGAGAGGGATGGGAGAGTGCATGACAGGGCGCTAGATTCGTTTTAGGACACGCTGTTGGGTCAGAGTACACCCTCATCTAAACTCTGTCAGTCAGACTTGCATGCAATATGAAGTCTGAAAGTTCAGACTACACTATTTTTTTTTGGCTGAAAGTTCAGAGTTACACTAATTTTGTAGGCTGCCGGTTTTAAATACATTGAAAACACTTCAACTATCTGAATCAGATTCTATCCCATGTGACACTACTCCAGCTGCCGGCTGAACTACTGGCTCCTCTGCAGCCTCCTTCCCAGCTCTCTGGGGCTCCCTGTGTCTTGCAGCAGGTGCCATCACTGGCCGGCGTTTCTTATAGCTGCGCCAGATCTCTACAACCCCCGGCACGTCCAGTTCATAGTCTAGCATAGACATACACAGCAAGTCACTGAGCCTACAGTCTTTTAAACTACCCCTCTGCCACGTCTTGATGAGATTCTGGCGAAAGAATCCTCTCTCGCACTCGACGATGCTGAGAGGCAGCACTGCAACCGCCACCCAGAGTCTGACGAGGTTGGGGTAGGCTTGCTCCCAGTCAGGTGTCTTGAGGATTGCAGCCAATCCCGTGTTGAACTTGCGCTCGCTCTTAGGGGCTCTGGCCAGGACTGGGCACAGAGTCCGCAGCTCCTTCACGGCACACTTCTTGTCAATGCCTGCAACATAGGACACGGCGAGGGATTAGTACGGAGCGGTTTAGCCAACAGTCGAACGAGCATCACTTCACTAACTGACTTGGCAAAATCTCTTCGCAGTCGTCGGCGCGGAACAGAGTGACTAGCGACAACAGCCACTCAAGGCACTGTGCCTGCCGTGCACTCCTCTCCCAATTCGGAGGCCACTCGTCAGGTATGAATAGCCGCACGCCAGACAGAGAGTCGAGGTCTCCGAGCTTAGACCGAAGCTCCTCGACGAGGCCCTCGGCAAAGTCAGTGCAGAGCGCCACACACGCATCGTGATGGCCCGCCTCATTGGGCACAGACTGTGGCGCATCTTCGACCGGTTCAGTGACGGCTGTGGGGACAGGTTCAGGTTGAACGGAAACTGGAGGACGGCTAGAGCTAGGTTGCGACGGTGGAGTGGTCGGTGGGACATGCGTCGGCAAGCATGCTCGTAGAAAGTCCAGGCCGGTCACTGCGTCTGACGCAGGCCGTCGATCTGTCTCGTCATCATCGTCGGGCGATTCGGCGGCAGCGCCTGTGGCTGCCATGATTCTGGCGAGCACTGGTTTTGCGAGAGCGAGGGAGAGTCAGAAACAAGGGTTCCAGCAATACTATCTGGCGAAGAAATTGAATGAAGCGAGAGAGACAGGGCACGGAGTGTCAAATGTTATATCTACTACAGTTTGTTTAGGCTGTAGTGGGGTAGTTACTATGGGGTACAGTAAGTTTAGGGTTTCCTACTTGTACCCAACTCTTTCCTAGTGCAAACACACTTGTTCATTCTGATATGGTATCAGAGCCTAGGTTGCCACCTAGGACCGCTTACTACTACGGGCCCACTATTCCGCTAGAAGCGCCCTCGTGCGCCCTACATTACGTGCGCCCTCGTGCGCCTTTCTCTGCTCGTGCGCCCTCGTGCGCCCCTTTTTTCTGCTAGTGCGCCCTCGCGCGCCCCGCCCTTCATTCTGCCTGCACGCAGTCCTGCAGCCCTCGCGCTGCCTCCTGCTGCCCTAGGCCAGTGCGCCGCCCCTGCAAGCTAGTAGGGCCCTCGAGCCGCCTCTGCAGGCCCGTCAGGCCCCTGAGCCGCCTCTGCAGGCCCGTCAGGCCCCTGAGCCGCCCCTGCAGGCCTGTCAGGCCCCTGAGCCGCCTCTGCAGGCCCGTCACGCCCGAGAGCCGCCCCTGCAGGCCCGTCAGGTCGGCGCGCTGCCCCTGCAGGACCACGCCGCCCGCGTGCACCTTCTGCCCGACTGCGCGCCGCCCCTGCAGGCCCTCGCCACCCACACGCAGCCTCTGCACGCCCGTCAGACCAGCGCGCGGCCCCGTCAGGCCGCAGCCGCGGCCCCGTCAGGCCGCAGCCGCGGCCCCGTCAGGCCGCAGTCGCGGCCCCGTCAGGCCGCAATCGCGGCCCCGTCAGGCTGCAGTCGCGGCCCCGCCCTGCCGTGACGCGGCCCCGCCAGCCCTGCAGCTGACGCGGCCGCGCCCTCCTGCTGACGCGGCCGCGCCCTGCTACTAACGCGGCCGCGCCCAGCTGCTGACGCGGTGTCGCCCCTGCCCGCCGCGTCGCCCTGCTCGCCGCGTCGCCCCTGCCCGCGGCGTCGCCCCTGCCCGCCGCGTCGCCCTGCTTGCCGCGTCGCCCTTGCCCGCGGCGTCGCCCTGCCCTACCCCGCGCCGGGCCCCTAGAGCAGCCGACCCTGGAGCAGCCGCCCCTGCAGCAGCCGCCCCTGGAGCAGCCGCCCCTGGAGCAGCCGCCCCTGCAGCAGCCGCCCCTGGCCCCTGGAGCAGCCGCCACTGCAGCAGCCGCCCCTGGTCCCTGGAGCAGCCGCCCCTGCA